AGGTTTGAATCCACCAGCTGTTCCGTGGGACTCCGCGGAAAACCCGCTGGAGGGTCTGCTATGAGTCGGTTTCCCGTTCAATAGCACCCAACGACAGTATGGGAAGTCCCTAGATAATACAGTTAACAGGTTCAGTGTCAAACTGCAAGATTTCAAGTTCAAGTTCACTGAGGGCACCCTGAAAGAAAGGCTTGGCAATGTCCTTCTGAAAGAATCTGCCACTAGAAACCCGAAGGCGGAGAGTGGTGTTATTAACACACACGAGGTCACCACGAGGCAGAGTGGACTTGATGGCAACGGGTTAAATCATGTACCCAGCCTGAGCGCTCTGACCCCTGGGTTTGGGCAAGGCCCCTGGCAGCCCAGCAGGGGCACCCTGGCTCTCACCATTGCTGTCCTTGATGTCCACGGTGGCCTGAGCCTCCAGCAGCAAGGCGATGAGTTCCAGGCTGCCCCCCAAGGCGGCATGGTGAAGCGCTGAGAATCTGGCATGTAGGGGGATCCGGGTGGGAGTGTCAGCGAGCAGCGCCAGCCCCCCAATTCTGAGCCTCCGTGCTCCAGCTCCATCCCCGGGGGCTGGCAGGGTGGGTGACTTGCCCACTGTCGCCTGCCATCCCCGCCCCCGCCCGGCCGGCCAGCCGTGGGAGCGCAGGGCCCGGCATGAAAGAGCCCAGTGTCTGCACTCAGAGGCCTATTTGTCTGTTGGGCACCCCCCCGCCCCCAGCAGGCCCAGGGGAGGGGGCTGTGGGAGCAGAGCCTGAGGGCTTCTACCCTCCAGGGAGAAAAGGGGGCCCAGTGGGAATGTGACCCCAGGAGGCCCCTTGGAGAGGTATCGGGGCGCCTGCCCTGAGCTCAGGGCCAGTCCCACAGGGGCTGGGTTCAGTAGGTAGGCCCCCACCCTCCTACCCTACCTGGGCAGGGCCCAGAGACGTGCGGCAAACATTCTTCAAAGACCAAGCCTGAGAGGGACATATTTTACCTCGGACTCAGGGGTTCTGCCCGCCACCCCGTAACTCCCCCCTCCAGCTCTCAGGAAGTGGGGTCCCACTCACCCATCAGCATCTTGATAGTTGACGTTGAGCCTCTTGGTGGAACCGAGGAGTTCTAGGGGTTCAGGATAGGGGACATCAGTGTGCTATCAAATAATCCTGCTCTTATCTCCACCCTTCTCTGGGTTCTCCCAAATTCTCTCCGCCCAACTGACCTCTCGGGGTGCAGAACAGCACCTGCCCCATGGCCCTCTCCTAGCTCTGGCCCTGTGGCTTCCAGCCTGGCCACTGGTTTGCTCGCTGCCCCAGGCCCAGCTTGCTTATAGACCCAAAGGGGGCGGGAGGGGCTGGCATGTCGTGCTTGGGCCAGATGGGCCCACGGAGCACATGGTTGGCATTCCTGCCTGGACGGGCCAGAGAGGGAGCTCCATTGTGTCTCCAGGCAGAGGAGGGGCGGCCCCAGAGAAAGGAGAGGGGACACTAGGTGTTTAAGAGAAGATGGACAATCAATGCCAGGGCTACAGCCAAGGGCACCAGGTGGGTTGGGGCACATCACTGAATGGAAAAGGCAGCAGCAGACAGACAGACCTCCACCCAATCCTGGCTCAGCCGTGTGATCAAAGACCAATCACTTAACATCTCAAGCTTTATGCCTTCATCTGTAAAGTGGGGTGATCACAGTGCCTGCCTCAGATGGGTCGGAAATATAGGAACTATTACTAGACAGCATGCAAAAGACAGGGGTTGTTACCACGGAAAGGAACTGCATGTTGTGCTGCTAACCAAAAGGTCAGTGGTTCAAATCCAACAGCTACTCTTTCAGAGAAAGACGAGCTATCTATTCTGGTAAAGATTTACAGTCTCAGAAACCCAACGGTGAGACACTAGTGGTCAAAAGTCACTGGAAGGGAGTGGGCTGTCGCCTGTTAGTGCCTGGGTGGGACAGTGTGTACCTGGCTGCTAAGTGCTGGCTTAGGGGTCTGAACCGACTCAGTGGTACCAAGGAAGAAAGGCCTGGCTATCTGTTTCCATAAAGACTGAGACACTCCTGTGTAGCACACGAGGTCACCACGAGTTGGAATCAACCTGGCTTCAAGGGCTCAGATCCGGTTTTTATCACCATTACGCACTCCTCATTCATTAGCCATTATTGTCCACGTGTCCCCCACTGGCCCTAGACCCCTGAGCTATCTCAGGCTGCCCTGGGTAAGTGCTAACGACCCCCACGGCTCCAAGCTGAGATACCTGCACCCTGGGCAAGGGGCAGACACAGCCAGGGGCATGGCAGGAGCCCCTCTCACTACAGGTCGAAGGTGTGGGAGGGTGGCGGGGAGACAGCCCTTGAGGAGTGTGGGGAAGGGCCATCCCAGGCAGTCCTGGCTTCTCTCAGAGCCCACCTCTGCCGGGAAGGAGGAGGTCTGGCTCGCCCCAGGCCAGGCAGAGTGCCAAGCATACTGGTCCAGGCCTGCCCCCCGGCCCTGGTGGGCCCCCGAATGCCCCAGCAGCCTGGGCAAGACAGGGCCTCATTCCAGCAGGGCGGGGCCAGGCCCAGAGAGACCACGGGTGGGAGGGAAGAGACAGCTCTGCTCAGGGCTGAGGGCGCCACGTTCCTCCAGAAAGGTAAACACAGAGCCAGCAGTGACAGGAGCAGGGAGGCTGGGCTGGGGTGTGGGCCTCTCAGCCCTCCAGGGACCCACTCAGGACAGTGGGAGTAACGGGGGCTTGGAGGCAGGCTGTGCCTCTAGCTGGCCGGCCGTCACCTTGGCCAGCCCCGGCACCTCTGGGAGCTTCAGTGAAGGTCATCAGGGAAGAAATAAAGCCCTTCACGCCACCACACCGCCAGCAGCCTGAATGGTCTGGGCCAGGCAGGTCCCTGTCAGGATGGAGCACCTCCAGGGAGGGGCAGGACACTGACAGGAAGGACAGGGACAAGGGCAGGGCAGGCTGGGTGGCTCCAGTCCTGGTCCTTCTAGAACAATGGCCGGAAAGGCAGTCCCCAGAGAGGCTGGGTGACTTGTTGGGGACCTTGGTGGAGGGCGGACGGGCTGGGTTCCTGGCAGTGGCTCCAGGCACTTCCTCTGCAGCAAAACGGTCTTCCCTAGCTTGGAGGGGAGGCGGGGAGGTGGACGGGTCACTCCTCATTTTGGCCAGGCTGGGAAGCGGACGTGAGCTCAGCCGGTCACCCCCAGCCCACTCCATTTCCTTTGGCCAGAGGACAGTTGACAGGCGGTGGAGGAGAGCAGAGCTTGGGCAACTGTACCCTCCCCTTCCAGTCACCTGCTCCCTGTGATGGCTTGGTGAAGGGATCACAGGGGTGCTGGTACCCAGGGACCAGATAGCTAACTGGCCCAGGGAGACCCTTGTGCCTCCTCTTTGGACATACAGAAAGTTCTAGGAGAGAGGGAAGTCTGAGACCTGCCTTCAGGAAGTTTCTCTGCCTTCTACGGCATGGAGCAGGAGTCCCCAGTTCCGTTTCTGAGAACTGCTTTAGAACCACCCAGAACTTTCTAAAGTGCAGAACCTCGGGCTCTCCTGGTACATCCTCACATTAAGGGGATGTCCAACACTTCTGCCTCTTCAGGTCCAGCCCTGGCTGCTTCTCACAGGTAGATGAGTAGGGAATCACAAACGAGGTCACAGGCTTGTCGGACGTGGCACGTGTGTGAATTCAGGGAAGCCGCTAACCCTCTCTGAGAGAATCAGTTTCCTCGTTTGTGAAATAATATAGAAACACCTCTCTCACAGAGAGTCCCCGGCTGCCTTCAGAATGAAAGGCTGCAGGTTTGAGTCCACCCAGAGGTAGCTAGGAAGAAAGGCCTGGTGACCTACTTCTGAAAACCCAGCCGCTAAGAGGAAACCCTGTGGAGTGCCATTCTGCTCTGAGCCACACGGGGTCACCAGGAGTCAAGGCTGCGCAGGGGACCAGTTGTTGTTGTGTGCCATCGAGTCAGCTGGAACCGAGAGACGAGGCGGAGCAGGAGTGGCCAACAGGCTTTCAGAGGCTGTCCGTCTTTACGGAAGCCGACTGCCAGGCCTTGTTCCTATCGTGCAGCTGGTGGATTCGAACCACCAACCTTCTGGCTAGTAGCTGCACGCTTAACCACCGCACCACCAGTTCCTTTTGCCAACCATCATAAGGTTTGTAAACGTCACCCATGATCTCACAGTCGTCACCAGCTTCCCTGACTGCTCAGAGGTCTGGGAGGGGAGGCATGGAGACACCTCCAGGGCCATCCACTCTGTAGTCCTCTGCACGGTGAAATCTCCCTAGGGGCAGTGGCACTGGACCTCTTTCTCCACGCAGTTGTCAAAGGTCAGAGAGAAACTTCTTGGAGCTGAGGGACCTTGCTCAGGTTCCCACTTCCATCTGCACACCCCACCTGCCTGCCCTCCGAGGGCCTCACTCTGAGCCCCAGGGCTGTAAAGGCACTAACCTGGGCCAGCTGGGCAGGTGGCCAAAAACAGCCTGGGAGAGGAGGGGAGTCGCTCCCACTCAGGCCTGCAGGGCCCTCCTGGGGCCACAGAGCACCTTCCCTCCCGCAGCTCACCCTGCACCCTCCCCCCTGGGCCCAGAGACCACCCCCCTGGTCTCCAGAGCTGCATGCACGTGGGCGCACACACGTGTGTGCTCAGCTCCCAACACATTCCAGGCTCCCACCTGGAAAATCCTTCCTTCTAGCAACTTGCACCCCCAGATGTGGGTGAGGACAAGCATACATCATCAGGTAGTCTGGGGACACCTTCCATGCACAGAGCTGGAGCCCCAGGATCCTGGGGAAGACACCTCCCCAAAGTCGAGAAGACGCCTCCCCTCCCCAGGCCTTGGTCAGGTCACAGATGCCACAGGCACCTCCTCGTGTGAGCTAGGAACTCAGGTGATACATCTGGTGACCTCCAGGAATGACCCAGCTGCCCCCGGAGCATAGCTGTCTGCCCCCATCTGCCCCCGGCGTCTCCACAGAGAGACTTAAAGGAGGGGACTCCGATATGACCCCTACAAACCAGTCAGGATAGAGTTCCAGGCTGTGGAGAAGCCTCCAGAAAATCAGCGATCACCCCTTACCTCCCAGGGACTCAGCCGAGAGAGCAGAGGGAAAGGGGTTAGCGAGGGGTTAGGCAGGTCTCTACTTTTCTTTAAAGAGACGTCTTCCTAAGTTAAGACTTCAGTGTTCAGTGCAAATAGTGTGTGTGTGTGTGTGTGAGTGTGAGAGAGAGAGAGAGAGCGAGAGCGCACGACCGTGTTCTCCCAGTCTCTCCCAACACACTGCCAGGTTCCCTGCAGCTCCAAGAACACATTTTAAGAAGCACCTGATAGAAGCAACTCCACAAGAGTAAATCACTGCTGTCCACTTTGCCAATGATTAGAACAAGAGCCTGACGCACAATAAACATGTGGTAAGAATCTGAATGAAAGTGCTTCAGCGGTCTCAGTGTACAGGTGTGGAAAGGGAAGATCAGAGAGATTAAGTGATTTGCCTAAGGACACACAGGAAAAAGACTCCACTTCCGTGCTCACTCTCCCACTCAAAGGCACTTTCTTTTTCTAGAGGCAAAAAAGCCCTTCCACCCCAAATCTCAGGATCACTGTCACCACCACCCCCCAGACCTCTCCGCAAAATATTCAAGGACATGTCTCAGTGGACGGTCACACACACACCCCTGTCCGGTACTCACTAGTCTTGGCAGCTTTGACCTTAGCCACTAACTTCTGCACACCGGTCACATCCCCATTCTTGACGGCAAGGATCAAGTCTTGTTCACGACCCATCCTGGCCCCTGGGCAGGGCTCCGGGTTCAGAGGTCGGAGGTAGCGGAGGTAGTGCAAGCTGAGGAGTCAGGGTGCCATGTAGCCCGGGTCCCTGGAGGGCCAGGCGCCCAGGGGTGCTGCTGGTGGCCGAGGCAGTGGGCTCCTCGTCAGGCAGGGCTGATGCTCACTCAAGCCGTTTTCTCAAGGTGCTCTGAGAGCCACCAGCGAGCCACCACCACAGGCTGGAAAGCTGATCTCGGAGGGGGTGGAGGCTGCGTGGAAATCCGGACGGATATCAGCTTGCAGCTTCCGACGGCCCTGGGACAGGCTGGGACTGGGCTCTCCACTCTGCCCGGCTTGGCTCGAAGCACCAGTGCCCACCCAGAGAGCAGCCAGCATTCCCTTGGGCCTCGGGGGGCAGTGGAGGACCCGTCCCAGCGTCTGGCAGAGGACGCACAGCCTGCAAAGGGTCCCAGAAGTAGGCTTAGGTGGTGAGCCAGAACTCCAGGGAGCCCCCAAACCACCCTGATGGCCCCTCCAAGGGAGAAGAGTGCTACCAGGAGAGGAGAGCATGGAGAGGGTAGGTGGTGTGCCGGGAGGGGGAGGCTGAGTCACCTGTGCCCCAGGGGACCTGGCAGCACCTCAACCTTGGGCAGGAGTGTCCTGGCAGCATGGCACTTAGGGGCAGGCCGGGCCAGCAGCCTGTTCTCCACAGCCCGAGGCCCTGACACCCACAGACAACCAGCAACCCAGGAAGTGGGGCCCGGGCGGGTAAGGTTCCAAGACAGGAGTCACTCCCTGTGGAAGGTGTCTGCCCCCAGATGCCTCCCTACCTAAGCCTGGCTTTAATAGCTCAGTGCCCTGGCCCCAGGGTTTTCTGAGTTGAGGGGGTGGCGTGGGGAGCTGATGGCCCCCATTTCGGGTGGAGGGTCAGCCTACTGGACACAGAAGCTTTCCAACACCTGTTGCTGCCCCATTCCTACCCCCATTTGGGGTGAACAGCTGGCTAGAAAGCAGAAACAAGGACTGGGGGTACTGCTGCCAAACGGGGCTGCCTGGACGCCCAAACCTAAATCTCAGGTTCAGAGCAGAAAAGCGGCCATCCAAGGTGGGGAATCTGCTGTCCAGTCCTGCGGCATGAGCGCGCGCAGGCCTGGGGCCCGGGATGGGGACGCCTGGCCCCCCGGAACGTCCGAAGCCCAAAGCAGAGGGGACTGGCCCTCACCGCGCGCGGCGGGCAGCGCCCCCGCCCCCCGGAATGCCCCTCCAGCGCCGCGCGACCCCCCAGCCCAACCCCGTCCAGGCCGCCGGAGGAACAAAGCGGCGGGAAGGATCGGGAGGGCCGAGCGCCGGCGGGATCGGTGCGGGGAGAGGACGGAGAGAGGGGGCGCGCGGAGGACGGAAGGAGCAAGGAGATGGAGGCGCCCGTCGACCCCGCAGGAAAAGTTAGTTTGTGCTCGTCCCCGAGGGCGCTGACCCCCTGCGCGGGGCCCGCAGCCTCACCTCTCGCAGCCGCCTGGCCGGGGTCCGGCTGACCCCCCGCGCGGTCCCCCGCACTCCGGACGGCGGCTCCCACTGTCCCCGGGCCCCTTTCTCCGCGTCCCCTCCTTTTCCAAGGCCGGCTCGGCGCCTCCCGCAGGAAATCCCGCCCCTCCCCCCTCCCGCCGGATCGGGAGCGCAGAGACCCGTCCCGGCCGCGCAGTCGGGCCGTCAATCAGCGCCGCGGGCCCCGCCCCCAGCCGCGCAGGCGACGCCCACTCGCCTGCGGGAACCGGGGCCGGGGGTTGGCTCTGCGCATGCGCTCAGGTGGAGCGGGGCCGGGGGCGTTCCCTCCAAAGGAGTTTCGGTGGCTCTGTCTTGGCTGTCCATCTGGAGCCACCTGAGGATCTAGAGCCTAGACCAGGGCCAAGGTACTGGACAGAAGTAGTGACCTGACATCGTTTGGAAGCCGAAATCTGGGGACTTACTCGGGTAGCCCCCCTTCTTTTCCCCTCGCCCCTCCCGGGACTCCCGCTGCGACCACTCCCCCACCACCGCAGTGCAGGAGTCGCGGAGCCACTGCCGCTGCTCGGAGCAACGGCGCCACCTAGCGGGCGCTGTCGGGGCTGCTCACAGTGGATAGTGCGGCCACTCACGAAGGGGGTCTTCTGAAGGACTAGGGTGCGTGTCAGCACCATCGTAGGCCGGACAGCGCCTCCCACTCCTAGAGCTCGAGACCCCCGGCTTCCGAGCCCTTCGGTTAAGGACCCTGATTCATGGACAAAGTAAGCATGGGCTTACTTGTGCGTGTTTACAGTGCTGAACAGAAAGCCAAGGGAAATTGCTCACTGCAGATTAATAAAACAAGCAGACTCTTCCAGGCACACACACACTCACTCACTCTTTTTGAAAAGAACCTTTTATCATACTGGGAAGGTGCTGCGTGTGTGGGAAGGAGACAGATAACAGCAAAACCTAGAAGCAGAATCTCGCCCCCACTCCTGCTTTGAAGCAGAATCTTTGATGTGGAGAAGAAATGAGAAATTGCTCACTGCAGATTAATAAATAAACACAAGTTAGCTCTTATTGGGTAATCTGACCCCTGCCCTGAAGAACTCCGAACCTTTACTGACCGCACCTGATAGCCACGTGGCCTTCAGTTTGGAATTCCAGGACCTATTACTCTCGCTCCCTTCTTTCCTCCAGGGACGTATTTGATTATAAACACTCCTCGAGTCAATTCTGACTCATAGTAACCTCATATGATAACGTAGCAATGTCCCATAAGTTTTCCTGGGCTGTAATATTTATAAAAGTACTTCTGATTAAGTGCTTGGCTGCTGAGAGGTCAGTTTGAACCCACCAGCCGCTTTGCAGGAAACAGTTTTATTATGTCCTGCACCGTCCAGAATATTCCTTACAAAGAGATTGGTTTGGATTTTGAATCTTGACGGAAGCAGATCGCCATGTCTGTCTCTCGAGGAGCTGCTGGCGTGTCCGACCCGATCTCTTAGTTAACAGCCGAGCGTTTTTAACCATTGCTCCACCTCCACCTGCAAGCGCTCCGGTCCGGAAGCGTGAGCACTCGGGTGTGGGTGGCGCTAGGACCCAGAATAACTCGGAAGGCGGAAGCCCTGTCGGTGTCGGCGGGCGCTAGGGCCGGGCGGAGCTCCGGAGGGGGCGGGACCTGGGCGGAGCGCGCGCGCAGCCGCAGATGGCGGCCCGATGGAGCCGGACACGGAGCTCTCGGACGTGGAGGTTCCCGCGGGGCGCGTACTCAGGTGTGAGCGGCCGAGACGGGCCGGGGGGCCGGGGATCCCATGGGATCCCGGGGCGCGCGGGGAGCCCGGGGCGCGCGGCCGGAGCGGACGGCGCTGACCCCTGTTTCCCCCGCCCAGCGCCCACGAACTGTTCGCCGCCCGCGCGCGGCCGCAGAAGCTGCCCCAGCGCTCGCATGGCCCCAAGGACTTCCTCCCCGACGGCTCGGAGGCCCAGGCGGAGCGGCTGCGCCGGTGCCGCGAGGAGCTCTGGCAGCTGCTGGCGGAGGAGCGCGTGGAGCGCCTGTGAGCGCGGGGCTGGCCGGGCGTGGGCGCGGGGCTGGCGGGCGCGGCGACCCTCGGGGGCACTGAGACCACCTGTCCGCACCTGTCGCCAGGGGCAGCTTGGTGACCGCCGAGTGGAGGCCGGAAGAAGGCTTCGTGGAGTTGAAGTCCCCGGCGGTGAGCTGGGGCGCTGGGGACAGGGGACCCGCCTTCTCGGCGCTGTTGGCCCCCCTCGGTGACTCGTCCTTTTGGTCCCACGCAGGGTAAATTCTGGCAGACCATGGGCTTCTCCGAGCAGGGCCGGCAACGGCTTCACCCCGAAGAGGCCTTGTATCTGCTGGAGTGTGTGAGTGGGGTCCCGGGGGCGGGGGGCGGGGAAGGAACCCAGAGGACCGGGTACTGGGGGAATGCTTACACATCGGAGTTTCTTGTAATCTGGTGTCTGGAGCTGGAGACAAATAACCGTGCACGGAACAGGGGTTCGGTCCAGAGGAGCCCCGCGGGCGTCCTTCCCCTGGGTCGGTGCAGTGATGCTGCGGGGGGGGGGGGGGGGGGGGGGGGGGGGGGGGGGGGGACGTAGTCACCAGGAAGCTGCCCCATTTGGTGTGTCGCTGCAGACCGTGCCCTCCTGGGCCATTTACAGCCAATATGTTTAAACTCTATGGATTTAGTGCATGTGAGTGTCTGCAAGTGAAAGTTTCATGCTGAGCTGTTGCACCCCGCTTCCAGGGCTCTATCCAGCTTTTCCACCAAGACCTGCCATTGTCTGTCCAGGAGGCCTACCAGCTGCTGCTGTCTGAAGACACAGTGACTTTCCTGCAGTACCAGGTATCTGCCACCCTCACCAGGCACAAGACCAATCATGTGTTTAGTCATTGAGGTGCTACAGGTGCAGGGAGCAGACTGAGGTGCTGGGGCTGCAGGACAAGAGTCCTACTTTCAGGTTGCTTACATGCCAGTGGTGATGACTGGGCGATGATTAAGAAAACAAGTACAGAAACGAATGACTTGACAGAGTGTTGAGTGTGACATAGCAGATGAAGTTTCTGGGGACAGGATGGAGTCTGAAAGATGTGGTTTTCAAGTTGGAAGTCAGACAGGAATATTGAGAAGCTAGTATGGAGTAGGGAGCTCTGATGGCCTAGTGGGTAAGAAGTTGGCTCTGCCAACCTTGCCCAGGTAGTTGAAATCCACCTGCTGCTGCGTGGGAGAAAGACAGTCTCCCCCTGTGTAATTCACAGTCTCGGAAAACCCGCTCTTAGGGTCAACTGTGGGTTCGTTCTGACTTGACAGCAACAAGTTTGTGGTGCTTTTAGTGTATGGAGTGAGACCTGCCAGGAAGGTGCCAGGTGTACAGAGATTTTGGGGACAGGACTCTGGGAAGAAGGATCCTGAGACAAGATAAATTGGGGCGAGGAGAAGGCCATGGTGGCTGGTACAGGGACCGTGCACGGTGAGGGTGTCATGGGGTCAGTTGCATGCATACGACTGAAACGTAGGGCAGAGCAAGGCATAATATGTGTTGTTGTGGTGTTGTTATGTGCCGTTGAGTTGCTTGCGACTCGTAACGACCCTATGTACAACAGCCCTAAACTTGACTCTGTTTTATGCCAATTGCACTGTCTCTGACACACCCATCCTGATTACCCCAGTCACTGAATCAATCCACCTCATAGAGGGCTTTCCCCTCCTGCGCTGTCCCTCCACCCTGCCAAGCATGATGTCCTTCTCCAAGGACCTGTCTCTCCTCACAACATGTCCAAAGTATGTTAGACGGAGCCTCAGAATCCTTGCCTCCAAGGAGCTTCCCGGTTTAACCCTCTCCAGGACGAATCTGTTTGTTTTCCTAGCAGTCCATGGTATTCTTAATACTCTTCTCCAGCACCACAGCTCAAAGGCATCAATTCTCCTTCTATCCTCCTTGGTCATTGTCCAACTCTCTGATGCATAACAAGTGATTGTGAAGACTATGGCCTGTATCAAACGCACCTTAGTCTCCAGAGAGACACCATTGCTCTTCAGCACTTTGGAGAGGTCCCTAACAGCAGACTTTCCCATGGCAATGCACCTTTTAATTTCCTGGCTACTGCTGCCAAGAGTGTTGACTGTGGAGCCAAGCAAACTAAAGCTGTGTACAATCTCAGTCTCTTCCATCCATCCTGATGCTGCCAAATGGTGAAAATCTTTGTCTTCTTGATATTGAGCCTCAATCCGTATTGGAGGCTGCAGTCCGCATAATATGTGGAGTTCTTTAAAACTACTAGTTGAAAGGGAGCTCTGGTGGCCTAGTGGCAAGAAGCTGCACTGCAATCCCACAGGTATGCAATTTGAATCCACCAGATTCTCTGCTGAAGAAGGAGGGATAATCTCCTTCTGTACCCTTCAGATCCAATTTGATGGTACACACACACAAAAATAATAAAATTTAAAAAATCAACCAAAAAAAAACCTCTACCAGTTGATAGCGCGGGCACTCTGGAGGCCTGGGTTGGAGACCTGAGGAGGTGGGGAGATGGCTGATGGGCCAGAAAGAGACAGGAGTGTCTGGTGAAATAGAAAAACCAGGAGAAGTGGTGGCATAGAAGCCAGTAGAAGGTCTTTGGGGAGAAAGTGATCAGTTTTGTTAAAGGCTGCTTGTGGTTTAAGCAAGATGGGAGTCCTTGGATGTGTCCCTCTGATATGGATGCAGGGACACAAGAACGAAAATGTGTCTGAAACCCAGAGACCACTCTTCCATGTCTGGAAGTGGGAGGAATCCCCCCGCTGTCAGATAGGACATGTTTATTTTTCTGTTCTGCTGCCGTCAGCTTTAAAGGCAAACTGAAATGTCATTCGTGTCCAGTGTAATGGGAGCTAGGTGGGAATTCAGAGCTGGAGACTCTGCTTTTGAGCATGTGTTCATAATGGCGCGTGGGTGACCCAGTACCAAAGTTGGGATCTATGTGGGACCGGACGGGTGGGTGAGGGGCCTGGAGCAACAGTCTAGTGTCTTCAAGAGGCCACGTCTGACAAGAGTCTCTTCTTTATTTCGAGGTCTTCAGCCACCTGAAGAGGCTGGGCTATGTGGTTCGACGATTCCAGCCAAGGTAAACCCCTATCATCTTCCCTTCTGTGGCCACTCCCTACTGTAATCCTTGGCTGGCGCCCTGGAAACTTCCCTAGACTTGGGTTGGCCTCTGCTAGAAGACTCAGGCTCATTTCATTGTCTCCTGGGTTATCACACTGGGGCACATCTTCATCCAGCTCACCAGCACTGTTGGAGCACCTGCAGTCCTGGGGGCACTGGGCACAGGGCCCAGCACTTAAGTGTGGGTCCGGTCAGGAACAGGACTCTGGGGAGTCTACAGTTGAGCTGGTCTTTACACTTCTTGTGCTAGGCAGATGTTCTTCCCGTCTAGGGGCCTGAGCGGTCATTCCCTAGTAATCACCTGTTGCTGGGAGACACAGAGACCTTCAGACTTCAGCCTCTAGAAGGTCTACAGCCTCTGCAGCTTCACGGTCACAAAGCTCTACAACAGTCACATCCTCTCATTTCTGAAAGCAGAATATGCCCCGTGGAGATAACCATGTCCACAGCAAGTCCCCGGGAGAATCTTCATTCATTCGTTCATCTCTTGAACGCTTGTAGCGTGCCAGGCCTTGTGGGTAGGAGCTGGGGACACAGCAGACCACAAAACTCTGCCCCCCAGAGCATCCATTTAATGGGGAGCTTACACAAAACAGCTTCACTTTGCAAAATCAATGAACTGGACACAATGCAGGCGTCTAACTGTGGAGGCATGGTCCCGGAAATGCAAGTTTATCCCTTGAGCGGCTCTGCTGGATAGAACTTTTTGTGATGATGAGAGCATTCTCCATTTATGCCACCCCATATACGTGCTGTAGATAACTGGGAAACTGCATGTTTAACCTCCTTTCAGTTTTAAATTTTAACTCTAATCGCTTCTCGGCTTTTTGGCTAAGATCAAGTGTAAATTTTAACTCTAGCTGCCACTTTGTGGCCAGTCAGTGCCACAGTGAGCAGCACAGTCCTAGAGCCACAGACGGGCCAGAGAAGAATGCAGTACGAGGATCAGGGCCAGTGAATGGGGCGGGGAACACGACACAGCAGCTCCCTGGGGGACACAGGTGTTCACAGTGGAAAGGTTGATGGTTCAGACCCACCCAGGGGCACCTTGGAAGACCTGGAGCTCTCTGTTCCTGAAAGGCCACGGCATAGCGTTCTCTGTGCCTGTACCTGCATTTCTTGCTGGTTCTGCAAACCCATCGCTGTTGAGTCATTGTGGACTCACAGAGGAGTCCTAATTCTCATAATGTCCCTGTGACCACCTTCAGTGCGTCTCTGCCTTGTTCCCCACATTCTGTGGGGAGCACCAGGCAGAGAGAACGTGGTCCCTTCCCCGCAGTTCCGTCCCGTCCCCTTACGAGAGGCAGCTGAACCTGGATGGTAGCAGCCAGCCCCTGGAGGATCGGAAGAGGAGGAGGAGGAAGAGCTCTAGGTCTTGGTAATGCTCCTGCCATAGCCCCCTGAGGGTTGGGGTGCTGGTGTCTGTACCCTCAACACGTTTGACAGCTCCTGCGATGGCTGGCACTGCCCTCCCTGAGTGCATGGTGGGGTGAACAGTGCGGCGACCCGGGTGCACAGCTGATGCTCATTTTGCCTTGGTTCATCCCTCAGTCCTACTCCTAAGAAGCCCAAGACCCTGGAGAGCCCCCTGCAGGGGGTGAACGGGACAGCTGAGAACCAGGCAGCAGAGAGTCCTCCTCCCTGCAGCCAGGGCAGCCAAAGCCCAGCGGAGAGAGCCCCGGAGTCAAGCCCCAGGAGGGACCCAGAGCTGCTGGGGGCCCCGGAGCTCAGGCCTGACCTGACCAGGGATGGGGTAGGGTCCAGCCTGGAGAGCAGCAACGTAGAGAACGGGGTCACAGGGCCTCGTAAGCCGCGCTGGGACTTTGAGCAGATCTGCTTCCCCAACATGGCTTCCGACAGCCGCCACACCCACCTGTCTGCCCCAGCCCCAGAACTGCTCCCAGCCAACGTCCTTGGGCGAGAGACAGACGCCATGTCCTGGTGCCAGAAGCTGAACCAGCGGAAGGAGAAGCTGTCCCGGCGGGAGCAACAGGCCAGGGCCTGGAACTTGCGGGAAGACATCAATGCAGACCCCGAGGTGCAGCGCTGTTCCACCTGGCAGGAGTATAAAGAGCTGCTGCAGACACGCCACCTGAGGAAGAGCCAGAGCCACCCCCCACACCTGTGGGACCAGCCTGTCACCCCCTTGCTGAACCCCGGCCAGGCGGACTCTCTAGGTACCTGCCACTGGCACCTGAGTGCCACAAGACTGGAAGGGGTGTGCTTTGAGCAGGGTTGTGGGAGGACAGGGTCCAGCAGGCGCCCCAGATAGGGACATTAGAGGTGGCTGACCTGTGGCTGGAAGAGGTACGGAGAGATACGAACCACAGCCCATCCTTAGTCATGAGTGAGATGCATACCATGGCTTTGCTCACAGCCAGCTGTGACTCCTTGTCCCCAGAGGTACCATTTTGGCCAAATAAAGAGCTTCTTTTCTGTTGATGTAGCTAATAGAGCAAGAGAAGTGTTAACAGACTGGAACAGTTTAAGATCTTACTAGTCTGGTGGTGCTTGTGTGCCATCCTATGTTCAGCAGCTCCGAAACCCGCCTTGTCCTGAGCCAGTCCCACTGACTGACACCCCCACCCCCATTACCCCAGTCACTGTGTCACTGAAAGTGAGATTACTGTGTCACTGAGTTGAGTCTTGCCAGGTTAAATAAAGGCATCCTGTGATGCTTTTTACTAGATCTGGTGACTGGGGAGTTCTGGTGACTTGTCCAAGGGGAGTTTCCCTGCTAACCAAAGGCCACACCTCTCTGTTGCAGTCTACCAGCAGCTCTGTTGATTGCATGTTGATGAGCACGATTCATATTTACATGAAATTTACAGTCTTGGAAAGCCCCTGGAGGTTGAGCTCTGAGCTCCCACTGACAGCATGAATGAGAAACCTGGCAATCTTAAACGAGCTGCAGATTCCAAGACGTCTAGGGGAAAAAACGTCTGTAGATGGTTGACTTGGACAAACCCTTGTTTTCACTGTTGCAGCCACGGTCCTGGAGCAGATCTCGGTGCTGCAGACGACACACCTGGCTGACGGAGGGGACCAGTGAGTTTCCTCATGGAAGGGTGCTCATCGTCCTGATGGAAGTGTGATGACTCGGAACCCACAGGGCGGCTTCATGTCTCTCTAGGAGAGGGAGGAACACTAGACTAGGGCTGGCTTCTTCTCAGGGGTTCTGAATAGGGCAGCTCACTTCCCTATACCGCACAATGGCTTTTTCCATCCAGGACTTCAGACCTTTGTACTTTGGGGGGCTGGAGGAGGGGAAAGGTGAGGAGGACCCCTCATTTCCTGAGGTTTCTCACTCTGTCCTCAGGCTGCTGGAAAAGTCTGGGGGCTTGGAGATCAGCTTCGATGTTTACCAGGCCAACGCCGTGGCCACTTTCCGCAAGAACAACCCTGGCAAGCCCTGCGCACGGATGTGCATCAGCGGGTACGAGGCCAGGGAGCGCAGGCCACTGACCAGTTCTCTCTGAAGCCATGTGCCTCTTTACCACCAGCCCTTGCCCCCACTGTGCCAGGCCAAGGGGAACCTGTGGGCCCAAGAAGTCGTGAGACCACGCAGTAGTCAGTGCCCCAAACCCTACTGACCGTTGCGCAGATTCTGACTCATAGAGGCCCTTAGGACAGAATAGAATTTCTTGCCAGAACCTGGGTTTTCCAGTTCTTCACTTTTTACCCCTGGGGTTTTCCACTTCAATTCTGGGCCCTCCTAAAAGGGATGAGAAGCAAGATTTGCAGGCAGAGAACTCCCCTCTTCTGAGCACTTCTCAGCCATGCCCCCAGCGAGAAGGACAGGTCTGGGTCCAGCATTCTTGTATCCCTGAATCCTGCCTTACACCCCCTTCCCTACAGCCTCAGAGGGCTGATGGATGATGGTGCCAAAGTCTCAGGCTAATCCTTCTCCCTGCAGATTTGACGAGCCAGTCCCAGACCTCTGCACCCTCAAGCGGTTGTCCTACCAGAGTGGGAATGTCCCCCTCGTCTTTGCACTGGTGGACCACGGGGATATCTCCTTCTACAGCTTCCGGGACTTCACACTGCCCAGGGACCTGGGGCACTGACTCAGGGACAGGCTGCGCACCTGGACTGTCTGCTCTCAGGGACTGGCTGAGCATCCTTCGCCTGGACTCACGGGGCCCAGTCTGCACCCAGGCCCTGGCAGCTGCTGCAGGAGAACAAAGCCATGCCCCTTGCCTGGCCACGCAGTGCTTCCATGCTCCAAGCCTGAGGTTGCTGCCTTGCAGTGAACCCTCTTGGAACTCAGGACTAGATTTCAGAGACCCAGTGAGGTGGGGCAGAGGAGAGGACTCTGTGCCTTTAAACGAGAGGGTGCCTGCTTCATGCGATAAAACCAAAGCCATTAAAAAGTTCTCCCTGCTGGATAGGCTTCCAGGAGCCAAAGTGTTTCTTCCACCGCCAGGGCAGCTTGAGAGGGAGGGCAGCCAGCGGGTGGCCGGAGCGGATCAGCGCATGGGAGGTCACAGACTGGGTTTTGAAGGGCAGTCGGAGGACTGAGGCTCGGGGTCCGCCGCGTGGGGATAGGCAGGTGGCCGTGGTACTGACGCTGGAGCCCCAGTCACTGTGGGATGGGGTACAGGAGGGCTTCCCGCCTCTTCACTCCCGCTTCTACAGTCGGATCCCGCCTTCATGGTGTTAAGAACTCTGGCCGCTGCCCCTTGGAGGGCCCCGGAGTCCCGCTGGTATCCACAACCAACCGGAGGAACTTGTAGGGTCCTCATGGGAGGCGACCCCATCCCCACCCCACCCCGGTCTCGGAGCCGGCCCTGCATCCGCCGGTCCCGCTTTGATCGGGCTTGACCCGCCCTCGACAACGGGGACCACTCCCATCTGGAGTCCGGCCGGGTGGAGGCTCCGGCGCCTACGCGCATTCCGAGAACTGTTTCCTCCTCCGGGAGGCGGCGGCACACGGGGTGCTGTGTTGAGTTCCGCCACGCAGGTACTCGCAGGTGAAGCCGGGGCGGGCCGACGCACCTCATGCATATTCACGAGCCTGGCCCCGGCCCTTCGGGGCCGCTGATTGGCCCGTGTGAGGGCCCCGCCCCCGAGGTCCGGCCTCCCGGCTGCGCCCCGCCCCTCAGGCGCAGGGGGCGGGGCGGAATTCGGTGGCCCGTCGGCCCCGCCCCTTATGTAAATAGGGCGGCTCTGCCCCTCCCGCCTCCAGAGGTGAGCAGGAAGGAGGCCGCCTGCAACCCGTGGGCCGGAGCGGAGCGAGCGGAGCGAGCGGAGCCAGAGACAGGCGCTCAGGACGCGGAGGCCTCTGGCGGGGCCGACCCGACCTTCCAGGTGAGGCGCGGGACGGAGCCCACCTGGCCGGGGCTGCACCCTTGGGGAACCCGCCGCGGGGGGTGGAAGGAGGCAAGGGCCGGGACCCCCGGGCTTCCCGGCCGGGTGGGGAGGATTGCGTCCGGGTGCTCCCGCCGCGCCCTGGTCCAGTCGGCTGGCTTCTCCCGGAGGAAGACACCTGTAGAAAGTGCCGCCGGAAACTTCCCTCTGCCGGGTCCGCCCGCGACGACGGCTCTGGGTTTCGGGGTTTGCACAGTGGTGTTGGCTTTGGGGAGCGGGGAGACAGGTGCCCGGCCCGGCTGGGTGCGGGGCCCCCCGGCGTCGGGCCCACGTGCGGGACGCCGGCCGGGAGGGAGTGGGCGAAGCCGTGGCCCGAGCGGCGCTCGGCGAGTTACCTCGGCGGCTTAGCCCCGGCCATCTGGGCCCGCTCCCTCCCGGCCTTTGTGCCTCCTAATCCCCGGGCGCAGGGAGCTTGCGGAGCCGCTCAGGTCTCAGGACCTCTCCCGGCTGCGGGGACCTTTGGGCGACCGAGACCGGGTCTGCTTTCCAGGCCAGCGGGGGCGGGGACTGCCCTGCGCCGGACTTGGCGAGGGGAGGGAAAGAATTCCAAGTTTGCTCTGGGTCTGATCCGCTTGGCCGGTTCGCGGGCACTTTGGGCCGTGGCGGTGCAGAGAGCTGAGCGTAACCAGGGAGCTGCGGGCAGGCCCCTGGAGACTCACCTGAGACAGGTGAGCTTCAGCGAGGCGGGCGGGGCGTCCTTTCCCCTGGGGGCTGAAATCGGTCTGCACCTGAGTTCTCGGGAGGGTTCGCCGCTCGGAGGGGGTCCCCGAGCTGGAGGGGTGGGCGTGTCACATGACCGGGAGAAGGCCGGGGAACCTAGGTGGGAATGGGGCGGGGTGTGAAATGCTTCAGCCCCTTTATTCAAGGCATGTGGAAGTCTGGAAGTTTGCCTTTCTGAGGGTGCTCCAGTGTGACAGCAGCAGCCCAGCTCTGATGGGGCTGCCTTCACAGAGCTAAGCTGGGGCCCGTCTGGAAGGGCTGGGAAGAGTGGACGCCCTGGGTCCCCAGGCCTCCTTGAGGTGGAGGGGAAAGCGGCACATAACAACAAGAACAACAATCCAGGCATGTGCTATGCATCAGAAAGCTGGACAATGACTAGGGATGATAGAAGGGGTATTGATGCCTTTGAGCTGTAGTGCTGGAGAAGAGTATTGAATATACTATGGACTGCTAGGAAAACAAACAAGTTCTTCCTGGAGCGGGTGAAACCAGGCTGCTCCTTGGAGGCAAGGATTCTGAAGCTCCATCTAACATACTTTGGGCATGTTGCAAGACAGGACCAGTCGCTGGAGAGGGACATGCTTGGGAGAGTGGAGGGACAGTGCGACAGGAAGAACCCTAGATGAGATTGATTGACTCAATGACTGGGGTAACGGGGGTCGTAGGTGTGTCAGAGATAATAAGGTTGACTCAGGATAGAGCAGGGTTCAGAGCTGTTGTACATAGGGTCCCTACAAGTCACAGGTGACTTGATGGCCCATAACAGCAACAGCAACCCAATTTAATAGTTCCTGCACATACAATTCAGTGACACAAATGACAGTTTTCAACTTCTGATCCTTCTTTTTCACGGACATCAACTACCTAGAAGTTTCCTGTATAATCTTCATACTTGCCATTGTTTTGATGCCATGTAAGTTGATCTTAAAAAGACAACAATGGTCCAGGCAGTTTCTACTAGTTAAGCTAAACTGCTGTTTGGTTTCCTTAATGCATTTTTTAAAATAATAGTAACTTTTTTAAATTGAAAGAGACAAAAGGAGCTGTGGTGACATAGTGGGTAAGAAGTGGCACTACTTCCCACTGGGGATGCCTCTCCAGTGCTTTGAATCTGAGAGAAAGATAGGCAGTCTCCTTCCCTGTGTTTTTCAGCCTCAGAAAATCCACTGGAGGGTCAGCTAAAAGTTCCAGCTCAGCAGGAATGAGTGTGAGGGTTTCTTTTTTTTCTTTTTATTGTAGTGAAGTAAAGTTTGTCATTTTGCAATGTATATGTCAGTGCATAAGTGTCTAGTTCCAGAACATTCCATAACCCCTAAACTTAGTAATTATTTTGTGTGTGTGAGAAAAATTTGTATTTAGAATTAGCCAGCTGGACTCACTTTAGATGATCCCAATTTTGTTGGCAACATCCAAAGCGTCATAGGAGCAAGTCAAACATAGGCCTTCTTCTCTCCATCAGGTCTAATCAAAGTGCTGACCTTGGCTACATCATTGTCATAGAGCTTCTTTAAAGCTTGTTTGATCTGGTGCTTGTTGACCTTGACATCCACAATGAACACAAGTGTGTTATCTTCTCTCTTCTTCATGGCTGACTCAGTGGTCAGGGGAAATTTGATGATGGCATAGTAGTCAAGCTTGTTTCTCCTGGGGGCTCCCTTCTGGGGGTATTTGGGCCGCCTTCGGAGTCTCAGCGTCTTAGGCCGCTGGAAGGTGGATGATGGGCGGATCTTCTTTTTTTGTGGCTGTGGATGCCCTTCAGGACACCTTGACCTTTCACGCCTTTGCTTTGGCTTCAGTTTTGGGAGGGGCAGGGGCTTCCTTCTTCACTTTTAGTGCCATCTTTGTAGAAAGCAAACTTGGTAAATTTTTAACACATAAAATGAAAGCAATTGCTGTCAGGTCAATTCAGACTTACGGTGACTGTGGATTTCAGAGTAAAAGTATGTTCCATAATGGTTTTTTTTCCTTATTTTTTTAAAGTCTTTATTGTGACTTGAGTCAGTTTTACAGAGAAATTGATGTCAGTTCATTGTGTTTCCTGATGCTGATGATAATCTCCATGCTTGAGTGTTTCCCTTTACTTTGCCCCATGTCCCCCTTTTCCATTCGTCCTTTATCCCTGGGCAGATGTTGCCCTTTCGCTAAGGTGTGGTTGATTTTCCAAGAATTGCAGTCTTCCCTGATGTTATAGATCACCTTAGAGGCCTGACGTAGGGTTTTCTTTAGCTGTAAGGTTTTGAAAGTAGATTGCCAGGCATTTCTTCTGAGGTGCTTCGTCTCTGAGTGGATTCAAACCCACAACCTTTCACTTGTTAATGTTTAGTCATTTACACTGTCAGAAAAAGGAGACCATCGTATCAGATGACCTTCCTTATCTAAAAAAATTTAAAAAGATGAGGCATATAGGGAGGGGAATCAAATATTTTATGAGAGTATAAAATAAGAAGAAAAGGAATTCTCCCTCAAACACTGTATTCACAGTTTTATTGGTGTCTCTCCAGGCATCAGATGTAGTTTTGAATGATGGCTTTGCTGCTGTTCTGCTTTGTGACCCTGGCTCAGTCAGTTGGTGTGCGTGTGCCTCGGGGAGCCTGGCACGCACATTGACGTGTCAGGAGAACATGACCTACGTCAGGCAGCTCTGTGATTTTCAGAATGTTCTAATGGGTTATGAGAGAATTTGGCTTCTTCGACTGAGGGTCAGCAGACAGGTTGTGTTTTGTGATCTTTGAAAGCCCCCAGAGGTCAGAGCTTTTAGAATCATTGCTCCTGGGGAGTAGAGGGCAGAAATCAGTGGTTCTGGTACAGGTGCGTGTGTTCTTATGCCACGCCTGCTCACTGGACGCCTGGCCAGTGCACCCCAGTGGGCCCTTTCCTAAGGTTGGAGGTAGGGAGGAGAAGGTGCAGAACTCTAGGCAGGGCTGGGCTTCGTATGCTCTGCACTGTCCTTTATTTTGGGGGGCACTGTGTGACAATA